TGCTGTCTGTGTATGTGATAAAGAGCTTAAAAGTCAACTTTAACTACTAATAAGAACATGTTTTGTCAAAGTACATCAGGATCAAAGACCTATTTAGCCAGTGCAGACATACCTAGTCTTACCTGATGCCAACACCAAAAGCTTCAGGAAAGTTCCTCGAACATGTGAATTTGTTATAGCCCATTAAAGTCCGATCTTTTATAAATTTGGCTAAATACTTTGATGCCTAAAATGAATTTTCTTTCACCATGAGTTCCTCTTTCACCTGAGATTCTAGTCTAAGTAGTTCCTCATCTGCTTGTATCTTCCTTAGAGAGTTTTGTGTTCATCATATACTAATTGTTACATTACTTCTTTTGTGGGGCAGGAGCAAAAAACAGAAATAAAATATTGGGGAAATAAAAATTAAAGAGAGCAAAAAAAAGCATTTTGCAAGTCAGCTGTGGGAGAAATAACAGAAATTAAATAAAAAGAACGCTGAGCCTTAGAAAAACCTCTGAGAGCCTGTCTGAGGTGCTAAGCAGCAATCAGAGGGGAGAGAACTTGACAGGGATGAGGCCCTGGGCTCTGCAGCCTTCTGAAACGTGTTGTCCAGCAAGCAGCTGGAATTTGCCAACTCAGTTGTGGCTACTGGAATAGCTTTTCCATCTAAAGCTTTTCCATCGAAAGTTACTCTGAATTTCTAAGAGGAGTAATGGAAAGATTTGAATAGGATGCTGAAGATGAGAGTCAAAACTTCTTAAAATATCTGAAATGAACTGAATGTATGGACAAGGAATCGAGCCCTAGAACACAGATGTATCCTTTGGGAGAACCCGCTGCTGTGGTCTATGGACCGGGGCTAATTCCTGAAGGGTCACTATCTCTTTGCTGGAGAACAGACATTGAGAATAAGCTTTAAGAAACTTGTACCACAGTTTGGAAGTAATTTTACATCTGTTTCATCTGATTATAAAAATATGGCCATAATGTGTGCCTTTGGTTTTTAGATTTTTTTTTTTTTGGTTTGTTTTATGTATTCTTTTTTTTTACATTTCTAATGATATTTTATTTTACAAAAATATCAGTCAAGGATGGATTGAGGAAGAAAAACAATTACTCTTTTTTTCTATAGATAGTTTGAAAAGTACTGTCAAAAAAAGTTTTTTGTCTACAAAGTGTAGCAAATTTACAAACATCACATAAAAACTGTGGGGGAAGAAAATAAAAAGTTTCTATAAACAAGAGAAGGTCCATGAAAGTTAATTTGACATTGTTCAGTATTCCTAGTTTAAGATATGCAAAATATTGACATTCTTATTAGATAAGATGTTGAATTTATGCATTTTATTTTGATGTATATGCAATATTTATATTTATAAGGGCTTTGATAGTTTGTATCTCTATCTCCTAATCATGAGTTGACCTTAATCTTATATAATTATTAACAACTTCTTTCCCAATAAAACTTTTTGAGAATATGGCCCCTCAGTTGAAAGAAATATTACACATTTTATATTTTCAATTCGTACGCCTTCTCAGGGGTTCATGTGCCGTATGTTGATTACCTAAAACACAGCACACTAATTCCTCGTTTTTTTCTGAATTTACTTGCTTCAAAAAGCATAGTCATGTTTACATTAAAGAACAAATTTCCTTCATCTTTTCCAATGCTCTCAGTTCCTGTGGATATTTCTGTTTCATTTCTTATTAGGAACCGTGAGAAAAGGAGGCATGTTTAAGCGATTTCTTTAAAAAGAAAGACAAACATATGAAAAATGCCCAGCCTCACTCTTGTTAAACAAACAGTCTAAAATATCAGTATTTTCCAATATTAGCAGTATTGAAATTAGGCTTGGGGAGGCAGGACCACTCTTGCATACCCAGTTTGATATGCCCACCCAGACACAGTCTTTCTTCACATCCCCCCCGCACCCTGCCTCAGGTATATATCCCTTTATATAATGCTTCAAGAATGAGGGACCCTAGGGTTCCCTGCCCCAAAAGCCAGAACCTGTTTCCTAGCCTATGTGGTCATCTTCCCTGACTCTGTAGTCCTGACAGTGACTGTGTCACTAATGTGAAACCATAGGCCCAAGGGAAGGCCAAGGGCATGTATGGAGGAAGTTAAATAGGGATTTGAAGTTCAATCTGGGGTGTCCGCATGGCTGAAAGACCCTAGACTTAAGAGATTCAGCTGTAGGCTGAGAAAAAGGGCTCTGAACTTACTATGTTAGGTACAGAACAGCCAATATGGTTGGAGAAGCCTATCAAATAATCTTGGTGAACAATATATTGGTAAATCTACTTTAAGGAACAGTTGGCAATACCAGTAAATGTTTTAAATTCGCAGCTCTACTTTGAGGACTTTATCCCACAAATGTACTCTAAATGTGCAAGAAAATGTCTCTTCACTGATTCATTTATTCAAAAATTACGAAATAATCTATGTTCCAGACACTATTTTAGGTGGCAGAGATACAGCAATAAAAATAAAGTTCCCATCTTTAAAGAGATTATAGGTTAGTGGGGGAAAACAGAGTATGAATAAGTAAATTAAGACATAAATACAATTAGATACATTTATAATAATATAAAGAAAAGTGAGAATTGGAAGACTAGAGACATTATATGTATATATGCACACATATATACATCTATATTCATTATACTAATGCTATAGTAACAAAACAGGAAACAACTAAAATGTCTGTTAAAATGGGATTGTTTGGAAAAACTAAGGTACCACTAGGTAAATAATGCTTATCGTGTAGCTGTTAAAAAAACAAGGTGGTGTTTCTGTATATGCTGATAAGTTAATATCTCAATACAAGGAAAAAACCATAAAATATTGTATATTGTATATAATATGCTTTATTTAAAATCGAAGGGTACATGTGTAATATGTGTACACACGTATCACACACACATGCCCACACACGTGTGTGTGCCTACGCCTGCATATCTGCAGAGAAAATTTCTAAACGGCCAGAGCAAGAAGAGTTAATGGTGCTTCTTTGGCCAACTAGAGTGGGAAGAACGTCATTCATCAAAACTCCTTTTGTCCTGTTTTTACTTTTTACCATGTGTGTCTATTACTTTTTAAAGAAATGATTGTTTTAAAGTCCCAGATTGGGCTAAAAAAGAAGGGCTGTAGTGTGGGCGGAGCGCAGTGACATTCTAGCCGGAGCATGCGCTGTGGTCGTAGAAAATAAAATGCTCCATACGGGCGAGGGAAGTGTGAGCAAGGCAGAGAAACCCAGGTGGCTGAGGCAGATGAAACATCAGTGAACACATTTCCAGAGACACCCCTGAAGTGGGAGAAGTGGTTGAGCGAGCTGGTTTTCAAACAAGAGTATTTGCTGTAGGATCCAACTGAGAGTAAATTAATATCATCTGAGGTTTCAGGTTGGGGAGCAGTATCATGTATTGGGAGGCTGTGGGATGGTGGAGAGAATGTTTGGCAGGTTCAAGAGCTGTTCACACTGTCTTCCCAACAAGCTATGAGCCGGGAACGTAAGACATGGAACGGAGCTCTGGTTCCGAGGAGCTGGACCAGTCTGTGCGAAGCAGCAGCAGGGGGAAGGTGCATGGAGCCAAGAGTCCTCCTATGGGCAGCGTCCAAAAGCAACACCGCAAAGAAAGCGAGACCCTCCCTCTGAGAGAAAGGGAAGGAGGCTGGGCAGGAGGCAGGAGAGATGTCAGGATAGGGCCCCAGGTCGGAGTAGAGGACTGCCAGCTGGATCCCTGGGATTCTGGGAACCGAATGTGTGCTCATGGCCCTCCCGCTGGTACAGACGAAGCATGTGCCAGGGGCTGTGACTCAGCACGGCTCAGGAGCTTAAGGGCCGTTCACCTCCTCGAGGTTGTGGCACTTTCTCCACTTGGTACTCAGGCTCGGGTCAAAAGCAGAAGAGTCCTTGGATGTCACTTTAGAGTATTTGGCACATCTGTGCAAGGAGAAAATATGGTATGAGATAAAGAATATGGACTCTGAAGTCAGACTTCTAGGGCGGGAGCAAGTAACCTCTGAAAACTTCAGTTTCTTCATCTGTAAAATGGAGTAATACTACCACTTATCTCACGGGGCGTTATTGTGAGCACGGAATGAGATGATGCTAACCAAGTGCCTGGCATGTTGCAAATGTTCAATAAATGTGATGACCGTTGATAATGAAAGAGCACAGGCCAGGACATGTGTGCATGCACTGCTGCATCTGACATCAGCTTCAAGGGGAAGTCTATTGGTCTCTATCCCTCAGTGATCTAGCACGAGCAGAAAGTGCTGAAAATGTGGGAAGCGGCAAGAGGAGGAAGCCAGCTGGAGTTCTCGCAACCTAGCCATCCAGCCAGTGGAAATGAGCCACAGGCTTATTATTCTTAGCTCTTCCTACCCTACCCCATCCTCCATGCTCTTGTATCCCCAGGCTGGGCAACACCTGTTATAGAATTCTCATGAATGTGGGGATTTATCTGTGGTTCCACGCACTGTATCTTTATCATCCGTAGCTACTAAGAGCAGAAAATTAGCTGTGGATTTTATCACAATTAATCTTACTAATTAGGTTTTCTACTTCCTTTGTTTCCTGCTTCCCATTCCTTCAGAGCTGACACGGGGAATTTTATACCAAGAAATTGCAGCTGTCATGAAGCTTCAGTTACAGGAAAGACTCTTATGGCCCCATCTAACGTTCATATACATCAATCTGTACTTTGTACGGGAGGAGACCCATATTTTCCAAATGTTCGGTGAGTGCTCCCTTGACCGCTGTAGTGTGAGGGTACTGGACTGGGATGTTTCTCATTGTACTCGGTAGTTAGGACAAATTTTCTAGAGTTTCAATGAATTGTACATTAGTTTTCTATGGCTGCTGGAACAAATTACCACACACTTACAGGCTTACAATGATGCTAATTTATTATCTCAATTTCTGAAGGTGAAATTCTAGGCATAACATAGGTCTGGTTTTGTTTTTTTTGTTTTTTTTTTTTAAGAAATAAAAGAATCTTTATTGTTTGTTTTAGAAACAATATGCTTTACGGATTTGTGTGTCATGCTTGCACAGGGGCCATGCTAATCTTCTCTGCATTGTTCCAATTTTATTATGTGCGCTGCCGAAGTGAGCACCAACCAGTTCTTTACTTAGAGTCTCATGAGGCTGAAGTCAAGGTTTTGGCAGAGCTGTACTCCTTTCTGGAAGTTCTGTGAATAAATCCACTTCTAAACTAATTCATGTTGTTTGAAGAATTGTTTCACATAGTTGTGGGACTAAGGTTCCAATTCTTTGCTGATTGTCGTTTGAGGGTCATTCCCATCTTCTAGAAGCTACCTGCGTACTTTGGCTCATGGCCCCTTATCGCCATCTTCAAAGCCAGCAACGGTGAATCAAGTCAAACTTCAATTCCCTCTGAATTATCCTTCTGCCACATATCTCTGCCTAGTCTTCAGTATCACAACTCAAATATTTTAATTTTGCCATTTCTTAGTATATTCAAGGTCTAACAATCCAGCAAGAGACCAAAACAAAGATATAACTTGGTTTCAACTCCAACTAAATACTAGTGGCTGTCTTGGAAGCTGTGTAGTATATTAAGTCTATAATGAAGTTCAGAAAGACCCAACCTGTAAGGAACACTTAGTGATGTTGTCTCCGTGTCCTTGGGTGGATCTCGAGGCGGTGGGTGGATAAGGAAGTCTCAGCATGTGTGTCATACATTTGCAGTACAGCGCTTAAAACACAACCTCTCATGTTCACAAAGTTCTCTTAAATACACTCAGATGTTTGTGACCACAGAGCTCTGAATTTTCTTCTATATTGGCAATCCTTAGAAAATAAGTTCATAGTGAGAAGGTTGCTCCAGTGATGCGGAACAACTATAGCTATTCTCCTGTGTCTCACCGTTAGACTGTTTAGTCTTTCTTTCCATATGGTTCTAGGATGCTAATACAACCAGCTGACCAATGTGATATCTTGACATCCTGATTGAAACTTTGGTACTCCCAGATCCCATCTTGGAGTCACACCTGCATTTTATGCTTTGCTTTCCATTTTTTCCATTTCTCCTTCATTTTATGCTCTTTTCCAAAAGACCACTCCCTGGTTCCTGTGTTTTGAATTTTTTGGGTCTTCAAATATGTTGCTTAGTCACCCATAATGTCCCTCACCACATTTTCATTTGTTACAATTCCTTCAGTAACCCATCTCAAATGTCACCTCTTCAGAAAAACTTGAATGCAACTCATAATAATAATAGTTAATATAGTGCAGACAAAAACTAAATCAGACACTTGTACCTTTACATGGGTCATAGAATTTAATTCTTCTAATAAGTCCTTCTAATATTCATCCTATGATGAATATTATTATACCTATTTTAAAGGTGAAGAAACAGACTCAAAGTGATTAACTCATTTTCTAAAGTCCAGTTACTAAGAGCAAAGCCAGGTTGCAAAATCTATGTCGATTCAAACATAATCCTTTGTTTTTAATTGTGTTGTGAAGCTAAAATTCTCTATGTCTGTAACTCCTTATGTTTAAATTCAGTCATTTCTTCATGAACCATTTCAAGGTCACTTCCTGCACAATTCTTAATTTGCCTATGTAAATTGCCCCTAGGTTAGACACGTCCTTTTCTCTTATTTACTCTACTCCTGAGACACTTGTCATTTCTCTTTTCGTATCATTCTCTACATTTTCTGGTGGGCTGTTTGTGACTTCCCTGAAGACTAGGACAGGTCTCTTGATTCTGTCTGCTTAAAGTACTGAGAATTCTGCCCCCCAAAATGTCTGATAAATAACTAAAGAATTGATCAGCACTTCTCTGAGTGGATTTTTAAAGACCCTGACATAAAAATGATTCTACTTCTATTAGGGGAGTATAAGGAAAGATAATTTAAATCATGCTTTAGTTACCTTTAATTGAGGCTTTAGCTTTGAAGTTAAATTCCAAAATGATTAAAAGTGCATTACTGACCTCACACACCATTCCAGTTGTACGTCAGTGCTCACCCAGTGTGAGTTAGCAACCTTCCGAAGGTTAAAACTAATGTTTGAGGGAGGAACACTAGCAGTTAGTGGTGCCAGAAGATTTAGGCCTTGGGGATCTGCATAAAACAACTTACTCCTTTATTTTACACAATGATGTTACGACTTGCTAATCAGTCAACGGCAGACCTCTGTGATAGGATTTCTCTGGATTTGCACACTCCATAACAGCAGACCTATCAGTGGACTTTTCCTTTACTAAATACCATCAATTTTCATGAAAGTGTTTAGCTCTGGGGACAGGAAATTACTGCAGTCATAAAAATGAGGAGATGAGGTTATGCTACAATTTCCTTCTTATCATTTGAAACAAGATTGAGGAAACAACATACCTCCATATATTATTTCTAAAACTTTTTGATATTGTATATGTATATATATCATATATATTCAATAGTTTTATAATTTTTATATATGCATAATAATTTGAGATGCTCCCAAACTCTGTCCAAATAAGAGAAGACATAGCCAAAAGTTACACAAACACTGAAGAAATTGTGATCTTTTGTAGTAACATGGTCACTATATAGTGTCAATTAACTCAGTGATTCAACAGTGTCATCAAGGACTGAGGTTCCTAACATCTCTCTGATTTGCCATTCTCAGCACCACAGACTTTGCCCTAGGCTAGCCCACACATGATCACAAAGTGAATGCCACAACTCCTAGTTTCAGGTCATCATAACTAAGAAAGGAAAAAGGAAAGAAGAGTGCATATTTTGTTTACATATTCATTTTTAAAGGCAACGAATGTTTTCTAGAAATCTGCAGAAGTCCCTCATTACTCACTAGCCAGGGGAAATAATTACTATGATTGGAAGATTAATCAAGATCTAACTCCAGGAGCAAAAGAGAATTCTTGTCTCTCCTAAAGTATATACCCATTCTATACCTGAATAAATCCTACTTCTTGTTAACAAGAAAAAGAGGAGTGAGCTATGGTATCTGCCATATAGTGCTATATACACATTATTTATTTTTATCCCTCAATGGTACAGCAAGGAAGGTTACTGTGATAGGCATTGATGATGCTCACCAATATGTATGATTCTCCTCCCCTTTTATTCACAGAAAAAGACTGCAATTCCATGCCTCTTGAGATCAGGTCATGTGACTTTTTTTGACCAATGAAATTTAAGTATATGTGATGTGAGTTAGTTTTGAGCATATAGCAATGTGTGGCAATGTGTGGTAGCTGGTGTTGAAATGGAGGTATAAACCTAAGCCAGCCCATGAGAAACAGTTTCCTTAGGGAGTCTTCCTGATATACGGCAAAAAATAAGTGAGTGAAAAATAAATCTTTGATGTTTTAAGCCACCAAGACTGTATTTTCACAGCTTATCAGTTTAATATGACTGCTAGAACTGGTAGAGTGAGGTTATCTCCATTTTTTTTTTTGCTGATGCAGCTAGCCACAAAAATTATTTAACATTTTCAGTTCTACTTTCTAGCCTATCCCCACTCCGACTTAGACCATCTTACCTTTCTTTCCAGAAATTATAGTAAAAGTAATCTCATTTATTCAAGGGGAAAGTGCCAGCTAAGTAGTGCACTCTGAAGACATCAGATTCCATAAACATTTACTAAGCACCTATTATGTTCCTAGGACATTATGTCTCTATATATGTTCTCACACTTCAATATCACAAAAAATCTACAGGGAAGGAGATATTTATACTACCACTTCACAGAAGAAGAATTTAATTCATAGGGTAGTTAAATGAATTCTTCTAGACACCCTAGTAAATGGTAGAAACGAAACAAAAAAACCAGGTTCTCTGGCACTAAATGCAGTATACATTTCACAATGCTATTCTACAGGCTTAGAAAATCAGTTCAGTTAAAGTAGGTCCTACTGCTATACTCCTTTAAAAGGTGTGATGGGTGAGAATAAATAATATTAAAGAGTTTAGGCAAATATGTTCAAATCAGAAATGCATGTACTAGTGGTATTTAAAATAATTTTAGATGGTATATAACAGGGTATTCAATAATATTGAATTGGACTTCTGCCTAGGAAGGTGGAGTAGATGTACGTTTCCTATTCATGTTACAAAATACAACTAAAATTCCTGGACATTATATAAACACAAACACAAGAAGATTCTGAAAGGTGGAGAGAAGATGACAACGTGCCTAGGGCTCTGACATGATGGTGAGTTCCCTGGGTTTTATATTTGCCTCATGTATCCAACACTTGGACCCAAAGAACCTGGTATTATAAACTGAATGTCTGTGTCCTCCCAAAGTTCGTATACTGAAATCTTACCCCCCAATGTGATGATTTAGGAGGTGGGGGCTTTGGGAGATGATCAGGTCATGAAGTTAGAGCCCTCATGAATGGGATTAGGACCCTTATCAAAGAGAATCCAGAGAGATCCCTTGCCCCTTCCGCCATGTGAGGACAGACAGAAGACAGCCATCTATGAACCAGGAAGCAGGCTCTCATCAGATTCTTACCTGCCAACATCTTGACCTTGGATGTTCCAGTCTCTAGAATTGTGATAAATAAATGTATGTTGTTTATAAGGCACTGAATCTATTCTTTTACACCACCTAGAGCACATTAAGACAACTGGTAACCTATGAAGGGTTATGGAGAGAAAAGAAGCCTTGACAAAGGTTTTCTCTCTTTAGTCAAAGAACGTGGAAAGAGACAGCTTTAGCAAGACAGAGAACATTTAGACAATAGCCACTCAACTCCAGCCAAATACCATAGAAAAAACTCTGGATGTACTTCCGCCTACAGCAGCAATGGCAGAATGGAGAACTTAGACTTCTAGTCTTGTGTGGATGTAATAAGGCATCTCAACGCCTCCTCCTGGTGGCTTCAGAGAAGGCTGAGAAGGGAGTATCAGTCAGGACTCGTGGGGAAACTGAACTTCCACCCTCACCTCTCAGTCTGGAGGGACCCCTCCACATAGCCATGGAGATGGTGTCAAATGAAGCCTAGGAAAGAGTCGTGACTGTCACTAACACCCAGTGGTAATGAGACACCCACTGCTGTGGTGTCAATGGAGGCCATATGAGTAACAGAAATTCAAATCCCCAACCAGCAGTAATGAGTAATTCTCCTCCTCCT